GCAGCAAGAACCTTTTTAAGCCCTGGGCCTGTCCCTTCTGGAGCRATGCTGGCCTGTCCCGTGTTGTTGCTGCTGACTGCTGAGGTCTCCATGTGAGTGTGCAGCTTCAGCTTGAGAACCAGTTTATCTTGATAACCCCAGCAGCAGGGATAGGATATTCCTGCTTGGGATCCCAAGGTAACCATCCGGTTTCTAGCAATCTCCAAATTATGAGGGAATTTCACCCCTGAAATGCAGGAATAGCTGCTCCTTTAACTGTGTCAATGAAACTTCTCTCTTGCCGAGCATTGTTCCAATCACTTGGCATGCCTGCAAACCTTTTGTTATAGCTGGGAAGAGACGGGAAATTTTCATCTCTCTTTGGTGGTTTGATCTCTGTCTGCTCTTGATTTCAGCCATTGCCGTTATCGCTGCTCAGAGAGATAATGTTGAATGTGACATTGAAATGCTGCCATCGAGCTTCAGAGGCAGTACTGGGGATGCAGCAGCTGGGGACAAAGCTTGGTGGCTTCCTCTGCATTCTGATACAAGGCTGTGGTCACAGTAGGTTTGTGTTTGCCGCTGCCTTCTTACTCTGGGAACCTTCTGTTACCTGAAAGCTGAGATTTCTGGAAAATGTCACTGCTGGATCATCTTTCAACACCTTCCTTTAATGTGTTTTTAATATCTGAAAGCTGCTGATAACGTGGCTTGCAAGAGCTGAGACACAGCAAAGCAAGAACTGAGGCAGAGCAAGGATTGAAAACAGATCTGAGGGGTAAAAATGCTGTCATAGATTAAAAGCTGGTTGAGAGAAGTCGTGATATCTGTTCCGCTGCGCTGTGCACAGCCCTTCTCCCCAAACTGGGAGGCTGTTGGAGAAGCCTTATCAGGGCACATTGAAGACAGCCAGCTGGCAGCTCCTGCCTCTCAGGCTCCAGAGTGCTGCCAGYTCCCCTCTGCACAGGAGGGAGAGGCAGCACTGCGCTGCTGCACCCTTGGGCTGGTGCAGGAAGGAAAACAAAGCCTTCTGGGGACAATGGTGCACAATGGAAAGAGAATCCAGCAGCAACRGGGGTCGGTCACTGATTCCAGTGATGTCATGTGCTGTAATGTCTGCTCTGGGCCAGGCATGCAGCCTGTGCTTGTGTTGCCTCCTGTCTGGCTRTATCCAGAGGAAGGGGCTGAAATCCTGCACTGCGCATTTCAGGGACTTGGGTGTGAAATTTCGATCTTCGAGCAAAGACTGCRTTGCACTTAGCACACATAGATACCGACACTTTTGTAGGGGCTGAACCCACAAAAGGCCAAAGTCCTGTCAGTGGGTCTTGCTCCCCCAGGCTGTCCATCCCTGCTAGGGAGAATGTGGAGAGCTCCTGAGGAGGATGTCTGTCACCTGCCTGATGGAGTCACTGGGGAACTGCTGAGAAGGTAAGGTCAGTTCAGACCCAGGCTCTAGTAGTGCCTAGAACTGCCTTCTCCTGAAGACCTGACTCCAAAACCCCCTCCTGGACTAGTGTTTGTGTATTTTATAAGAAAATCCATTCCATCCTTTGCTGTTAGACAGGAACATTCCAGTGTGTTGTCAAGTGTGGCGATCAYTCAGCTGCTGGTGGCAGCTGCTCCTCTGTGCCAATTGCTCCACATTTGCACCCAAATCCAGGCAGCTGACTGGACTGATGACTTTGCCAGGCCCCAGAGTTGTGTGTTCATTTCAACACCTGCCTCTGTTGTGGGCAGAAGCAATTTTAAGGGTCAGTTTTAGTGAAGAATCTTGAAAGCTGTAAGACTTGGAGAGTTTACACTGAAATATCCCAGAGTGTGGTGCTAGGGAGAATGTACCACTGAGGTGCTTGGAGGGAAGGAGAGCAGGGAGATGGGGTTTAGGCACACCAGTGAGACCTATACACTAGAAAAAAGAGCCTTTGTGAAAGCTGTGGGGCTAATTGGGACAGGTTTCACCTATGAAGCACCTTTGCATGGAGGATGTGTTACCTAGCAAGAGGTTCTRACAGGAGGAGCATCTCGGCCAGGCGATGGATGTTACATCTGGGCAAATGCAAAGGATACAGGTGATTTCAATAGACGGTTGCCACCTGGGGAACCTACCTTGATTTGCCCATGGAGGATAATGGTAGAGGATTAATCTCTTTTTAGTGTGCTGTCAGCAATTAGAGACATAGTYCCACACGTGCACCTGACCTGAACCAGAGGAATTTGCACTGTCTTGCACAGGGGGCAGAAAATGCAATGCTTCTTTCTTTGCTTTAAAATCTGTGGAAAGAAGGTAAATATCACCATGTTTGTGAATAAGGTTTTTTTGTGTTGGCTACAGGTATGATTTTAAGAGCYGTAATGAGCAGCTATGTATGTCAGCAGCTGTGGTCCAGCAGTGCCACTGTTGACCCTGAGCTGATAAAAACTGGGGGCAGGAGCTGTTGGGGGGTCTGGAGAATTGCCAGGGGTTTGGTGGACCAAGAGGGGAGGATGAGGAGCTGCTGTGCTGCAGTGAGACTGAGGCCCAGAGGAGGAGAACTGTGGTTCCCTGGGTAGCAGGATTGTCTCTAGTTTCTGGGATTCTGCAGAAACAACTAGGAAGTTGGCCTTTTGTCCCTGTCATCCTCTTCATCAATAGGAATCCTTTACCCCAGCAAGTATCCCAAGCAAGGGAAGTTAGGGAAAAAAGAAGGCTCCACACTGCCCTGTCCTCTGCAGGAGACAGAGCAGGGGTGTTAATGGGAAGAGGTGCTGGAAGTCTGTAGCCCAGTCCCTGCTGTAACCAGGACTGTGACACCACTGTGGATTTGCATAGCTGAGCCCTGAGAACCACCACAGACAGAGATCCCACCACCTGTCCCAGTGCTGTGCTGGCTTCCCGGTAAAAAGGCTTTTCCTGATGGATGGCAATGCCTTCGTCCAGTGGCATTTCATTAATCAGCTCCCCTTGCTGGGTTTCCCCAACAGGACAGGAGCAGCCCAAGCAGAGCCTGGGAAAGCATTTGCTCCGCGGTTGGTGGCATTGCTCTTGTCCCTGCTCCTTGTTGGCTGCACGCAGCAGCAGATCCCCCCTGCCTGCCCTGCTTGCTCAGGTGCAAGGGTGTGGAGGGGCAAAACCAGGAGTTTGTGAGGTGGGAGGATGCTGGCAGAAAACACGAGCTGCCAGGCACACAGGCAGGCTGTGGCAGCGTGGGGGGCGGGTGACAGGATGTGGCAGCAGGAAGGAGAGAGTCAGTGGTGGCTAAACGATCACAATCGTATGCTGCGAGGTTTCYGAGCTGGAGCTGCCACTGCTGCTTCAAAACAATCTTCTTGACTGGGATCCCCCTTATCCATCTGTCCTCTTTTCTCTGGCTTGTTCATTTAGTAATATTGCTGCTGGACACATTGCTCCTTACCAGCTGCAGTTGCAGGTTTTAGGAAGACAGGGATCTCTTGTATYTGTCCATAGGGAAAGCTTTCCTGCCCTCCTCTCTCTGCACAAAAGCACGGCTTGCCACCTCTCAGCCTCTTTAGTCAGAGGAAGAGCAAAGGAACATCTGCTTGAGAAGAGAAAAAGCATTAAAAAGGAGGTGACAGAAGAGGAAGGCTCTCTTCTTTCCCAACCTAAGCCCATGCCTGAGGGACTGAAACCCATTTGAGTTCCAGGGTGTGCAAGGGAGGATGCAGATAGTTACTGGTGGGAGAGGGGGTATTATAAATACAGCTGAGGGCTGCTGTGGGGAGCCTTGAGTCGTGGGCTGGACAGGGGAGACAGGCAGGCCAAGGGATATAACTGATGCTGGACACCACAAGGTGGGAGAGGGGAACAAATGTGATTTTGCCCACTCCCAGCCAGGAAGGCAGAAGAAAAATGGAGGGATGGACGAGACCTGTAGYTCTGGAGGAGAGACACCAGGGAACACGCAATTGGCAGACTCTCAGTCAAGACTCACAAAGTTGGCCAYTCTCAGTGGAGTCAGGAAGTTCCATACCTTTATCCCAAGGGAAGGGCTGTAGCACACTGCCCCACAGGAGCACGCTCAGCTCCTTCCACAGAACTCAACACAGTGTGGTGCTGGGCACCTTTTTTAATTCAAACCCACTGCTCGCTCACCCCTTGCTGATGGCTCAGCTGAACCATCAGAGGCTGCTTTGCCACGCTCAGCTCAGCTCCTCGGTGGAAGCCCTGGGAAAATGGGCCAGGAGCACACAGAGAGCAAGGGAACACAGGTGTCCACATCCATAAAATATTTATGTATTGATCGGTTTGTGTGCTGTCTCCTCCCACTGCATAACAGAGTGAGGGGCAACGCCAGCACTTTTTGCAAAATTCACCCCGGTGTTGGGGTCAGAGGGTAAGAGGGAATGACCTAAAGAAAGCTGAAATAAGGGACACGGAACAAGACCCGAGGCTGCTATGTGAACAAGGAAGGAGGAAGCCAGATGCAAGCCGAGCATTATATCCGAGARGCTGCCTCCCCACAGCCTCCTCTGCCCTCTGGCTCGCCATTGTCCAGCGGCAGCTCCCGTAGGCGGCTGCTGGCACAGCTCGGGCAGGGCTGTCTTGGGGGACTCGAGCGACAATAACGAGAGGGCTTGGGGATGCAGAGGCAAAGGTACGCCCTCTTTAAGGGGGGCAGCTCTGGGAAAGCACCAAATGCTATGCAAGAAAGGAATAAAATATTAAAAAGAAGGAGGCAAAGGCAGGCTGTGTTGCGGCTGGGCTAGTTACGGGAACCGGTACCAGGCGGGGCTTCAGCTAGCGGTGCCGGAGAGAGGCTTCTCTCCGGGGAATCCTGGCCGCGGCCGCATCCCTTCGCCCCGGGGCGCCCCGAAACCCTCCGGAGCAGCCGAGCCGCGCCTCGGCGGGACGAGAGGGAGAGGCGGGGGGGCCGGCAGAGGAAAGGGAGGTTCTGCCGCGTCCCCTCCTCTGCTCGCTCCGCCCGGGGCCGGCGGCGGGGCGCGGGGGGGAGCGGGGGGCGGCTCTCGGAGCCCGCTGCCGCCGCCGCATCCCCGCCGCAGCGGAAGCCGCACCCCCGCCGCCGGGGCCGGCCGGGCGCATCACCTCCCCGCCCCGTCCCGCCGCCGCCATGAACCCTCTCTTCGGCCCCAACCTCTTCCTCCTGCCGCAGGAGCAGCAGGGGCTGGCGGGCCCCGAGCTGCCGCCGCCGCCCGCCGCCGAGCCGCTGGCCGGGGAGCCGCCCGCCGGCCCCTTTCCCGCGCCGCCCGCCGCCATGGCCCTCCGCAACGACCTGGGCTCCAACATCAGCGTCCTCAAGACCCTGAACCTGCGGTTCCGATGCTTCCTGGCCAAGGTCCACGAGCTGGAGCGGCGCAACCGGCAGCTGGAGAAGCAGCTGCAGCAGGCGCTGGAGGAGGGGGCGAGCGGCCGCGGCCGGGGACCCCCGCGCCGGGACCAGGCGGTGCAGACCGGCTTCGTGGGTCCCATCCGCACCCTGGGGCTGGGGCTGGGGCCGGGGCTRGGGCTGGGCTCGGCACGGGCACTAGGGTCTCCCGGCTCCCGCCCCGGTGGTCCCGGCCAGCCCTCCGCCTTCTCGGCCGGCTCCCGCTTCATGCCCGGCACCATCTGGTCCTTCTCGCAAGCCCGGCGGCTCGGCCCCGGGCCCGAGACCACCCTGGTGCAGGGACCGGGGGTCTCCTGGGTCCACCCCGACGGGGTGGGTGTGCAGATCGACACCATCACCCCCGAGATCCGAGCCCTTTACAACGTGCTGGCCAAGGTGAAGAGGGAGCGCGACGAGTACAAGCGCAGGTGAGGAGGTGCGGCGGGAGCGAGGGGCACCGGTGGCATCCCCCGAGGGACCGAAACTATCGCCGGGGAGGCTGCRGGGCTCTGTCCGGTGGGCGCTGTGCGGGAGAAGCAGGGAGAGAAGGCGCCAGTCCTGGCCGGACTTCCCGGGAGCACGGGCTGCAAGGCAGCGTGAGGCCAAAATGTGGACCCCWGAAAGCGTTTGTTTATTGCCTGGATCTCCTCCCTTGCCACCCGGTGTGTGAACCCTCTCGGGATGTTCCTTGAGCCTTTTTCCATCTTGTCAACCTRGCATGAGGGTCTAGAAATGCTTTTCCAAGCGGGGAAGGARTAACTCCCAGAGTGACTCCAGGACRTGTGTTTTAAAGGCRAGGGGATCTGGAAATGCTTGGGAAGGAGAAGTAGCCTGAAAGTAGGTGAGGAAGGTGGACACACGGTAGTGAGCRGGTTTGGATTGGAAAAGGCTGCTGGGGAGAGTTCTCTGGATGTGTGGGAAGGTGTCGAGAAGCCCCTCAGCGGGGTCCCCCAGGCCCTTGCCCTTGCCAGTGCTCTCCTGCTGGCCCCTCAGCAGCGGAGAGCCAAGGCGGGACACCCCACTCCTCGGGGGCTTTCCTTCTGACCCAAAATAGCTGTGGCTTGGCTTGTGCCTTGGAGAAGGGTGAAGCAGAATGCAAAGCTAATCTCTTGGTGGGTTCTTCTTTCCCGTGCAGGGTGGCCGCTGCTCTCGCCTCGCACCGGCAGCGCTTTTGTTTCAGGCCGGTTTCCGAGGCTGCTCCCGGATCCGCACGTAGGATGAGATCAGGCTGGGGCAGAGCGTGGGGCCGGGCGAGAGCGTCACTGGTGACTGACACCACCCGAGCCACTGGTTTTGTTTTTAGCAGAAGTCACGTTGTGAAGTTTTASAAGGAGTTAGAAAGTTTCTGATTCYGYACCCGGCTCCCCACAGGAGCTGTGCTGCTGGCCAGTTCTGCACAGCCACGGGCTCCGGTGCCAAGATCAAGGCTGGGGATCTGAGATGACATCTTATGAYCAAAGCTTTTGGCTTTATAAGGCTTCAGCTAGGCAAAATTGCCTGTCAGATGCTCCAAAGGCACTGAGCAAGGCACATGGAAAGGAAGAGTTGGCATCTCTTCTTTCCCACCAACTGCTTCGTGTTCCTAAGGCCTTTGATCATTGAGCCAGTGGTCAAGCTCCTTCTCCAGAGGGGAGCAGCACTCCTTGCCTTGCATTTTCGGATCAGATAGTGGGAAGCTGGGGCCAATCTTTTGGCCAGGAAAGCTTGAGCCTCAAAGTGGGTCAGCCAGGAAGGACCAAGCTGGGATTGTTGTTGCTGCTGACACTTAGGGAGAATATAGAGCTTTTTGGGGTTTTCCCACTCTGGTAAGTGGGCTTCAGGGAAGGCTGTAGAGGGGGTGTCAGAGGGACTGCTGAGGGTGAGCAGGGCRGGCACCACAAGCTGCTACAAGCCAATGTTATTGGTGGGATCTATTTTTGGAGTGTGTTACCAGGAGCTGGGGGAAAGCAGACCCCACCCCCAGACCCTATCCARCACCAGGAACTTTCTTACGGGTACAGCCAGGTCCCAAACAGGGGAATGGGATGGGAGGATCCCATTTCCACACCCTTCTCTATGGTGGAGGCTGACACCGACATCCCCTGGGAGCTGAGAGTTCCTTGCCATGGTGGGCTGTGATCTGCTGYGGGGACAGTGCAGCTGGTGTCATGCCTTTGCCACCTGCCTGGGGACAGGTGGAAGAGGCCATATTAACACAGGACTTCCCAGTTCTCTGACCCGTGGCTCGGGTGCTGAAGCTTGTGCTTTTTTCAGGACAGCGTTGCCACCGTGCTCCGTACAGCACTTGGAGCAGGGCAGCAGGAGCTTCTCTCTGGACACACAGCGCCTGAAGTTCAAGTCAGGGATCCAGGAGGGGTGTGGGGGTTTTAGGGAGAGATGAGAATAGTTGCAGCAGCAGGAGAGAGGCTCACAGGAGCTGCAGTTGGGTGGAGCAGACTGAAATTAGGTGGCCTGGATAGGGGCAAAAAGGATGCCTGTGAGTGTCACAGAGACCTGCTAAGTGCTGGGATTCTGGGACCTTCACCACAGATTTGTGCTCTCTGCTACATCTGTACTCACAGGTAGTTCTTGGATGTTGCAAGGACCTGCTGGAGATGTGGGGTGAGCGGTGCTGTGACACGGTGTGTTAGAGTCACAGAGTGGTTTGGGTTGGAAAGGACCTTTAGGGATTACTGAGCCCAATCCCACTGCTGTGGAGTTTAACCAGATCAGTTTGCTCARAGTGCTGACCTTGAACATTTCCAGTGATGGGTCATCCACAACTTCTCTAGGCATCCTGYTCCAGTGCCTCACCATCATCCTAAAAAATTYTTCCTGATGTCCAATCTTCTTTCAGTTTAAAACCGTTGTCCCTTGTCCTGTCACTACAAGCAAAAAAYCTGGTRAAAAGTCTCTCTCAGTCATTYTTATAAGACCCTTTGTTTATTAAAATACTTCAAGAACGTTTTTTGTCATGGCCATTGCCTTCCAAGGAGCTGTGCCAGGCTGCAGGGCCTTCACCATGAAGGTAAGCTCAGACAGAGTTCCAATGTGGCAAGAGGGGGATTTGAGCAGCCCAAAGCCCCAGTGTGCCCGGACCCTGCAGGGTGGGGTGAAGCACCCCAGTGCCTGTTGCAGGGAGCAAGATTTTTAAAGATGGGGGAGTTGTTTATTTGGCTAARTGAACTTGTTGAAGGGACACACCTGGCGGGGAAGGGGGACACTGGAGGGACAGCACTGCATCTTTTCACGTCCCTGGCTTTGGGAGGGCTGTCCTGTAGCTGGCCAGGAGACGGTTGGGTCGGCCTGGAGCTGGGACCCTCCTGCCCTCGCTGTCTGCCTTTGGGCAGGTTGTTGCTTTGCAGCAGTGCAGGAAGGGCCCCCATCTGCCCTTGGCATGCACTGGTGACTGTGGGGCTGTGTGGGGCAGCCTTGGTTCCACTGGCAGTGACCTGGCAGCGGCCGCGCGGGGCTGCGGGTGCAGCRCTGCAGGCAGGTTATTATTAGGAGTGGTGCATTGCAGGAGGGAGCAGGCAAGAAGGAGCCAGGCAGGAGATGAGCGGAGAGAGGCTCGCAATGGATGGGTGCATGGATTTGTCCCTTGTGGGGTGAATCGCTGTTTGCTCCTGCCTTCAAGTCGGTGTTGCTGTAACTGCTCTCGTCTTCACAGCACTGGGATGAGATGAGCTCTTAGCAGGATTTGTAGCTGTGCTTTATGTCCCCAGTGAGTCTGGGCTATATAGAGACCCAGAGGGAGGCGGGGACCAAAAAAGAGGCAGTGCCACACTGAGAAAAACACTGAAAAATTTTTCTTATGGTGGAAGGCGTTTTTGTCCCTGGGGAAGGAGGCTTTGTTTGAGCAGTTCCCATATAAGGGCAATTCTACCTTTTAACTTTCTTATTACTTTTCCCTTCATCTCTGTCTTTCCCCAAAGAGATGGTAGCACTCTTTGATTCCCCTTCTGGAGCTGTGGTATGGATCCAACACCAACACGAGGAGTGCAGACTTTTGTCCTTGTTTGAGTAAGGAGCAGCATTTAAGCTTTAAGAGCTTATAAATTCATAAGCCAGAGCTCTCCCACGTCGTCAGATTGTCCAGATACCCCGAGATAACAAGTGTTTTCATATGCTTTCCGTCCTTCTAGACCTTAGGATTTATTGTTCAAACTTGGTATGGGTAAGTGAGAGGAGAGATTTTTCATATCCTCGTGCAGAGTCACAGAGTCTGTGTTGGTGCTTGCAGGCATTAAATAGAAACCAGAGCTCACAGCACCAGGAAGGKCCCAGCTCTGGTTGCTTTCCCAGAGTTATCTCTCTTTCTTGGAAAAATCTGGCTGTCCCAGAAGAGCCAGGAGCTGGGTAAGAACGCAGCAGCCCTGCCCCATGCCGCACCGCAGCGCATGCCAACCCCTCTGCTCTATGGCATCGTCATTTAGCCAAGAGCAGTACAGCTTGATGGCCTCCCAACAGACCGTGGGCTGGGCCAGCACTGCAACATGACCAAAGAGGTTGATCTCATGCAGTGAAATATAATATAATAATTGCATGGGGATGTGTCTTAGCATAGCAAGGCCAGGCGCCTTGCAGCTCTGCTTTTTGCCAAGTTGCAGAGCCCAATACCCACCGGACAGCCTGGCATAAAGTGGTACAATYCATCCTGCTTCCTTGTAGGATCAAACGGGGCTCTTTAATCCAACCTGGTTTGTGGCAGTAGAGCCAAGGGGTCTTGTGGCTCTGCCCAGGCAGCTTGGCCTGGCACAGGGCAGCCCTCGGCGTTGGGACAGGCAGGAGAGTCCCCCTTCAGGCACATCATGGTCACTTGCGCTGTGGGGTGCTTTGGTGTCAAGATCAGGGTTTGTGCTTTCTGGCAGCCCGAACTGCAACACTGCAGGCACACAAACCTGGTACAAAGATGGTGCAGATGGGGCAGCTCTGCAATGTGTCTGCAAACGTGTTGTTGAGTGCTGGAGCTGAACCTGCTGTGACCGAGGGCTGAGGGGCTCAGGGGCAGTGGGCTGTGGCAGGCTGTGGGCCAGCCCTGGTGTGGCAGGGCGTGTGGCACAGCTGCCACACAGAGCCTGTGGCCGGTGTCCCCAGCTCCCCCCATTGCAGGGCGGGTGGCCCTGGTGGGGCAGGGCTTGTGGCCGGGGGGGCCCATGGGCTTGGCAGCTGCCGTGGCCTGGAAACAAGAGGCTACGCATTCCTGGGCACGTTCTCCTTCCCACCCCGGTGCCGTCATCCCCCCCTCTCGGATAACTTTGGGGTGAGCAGCTGCTGCTCCATCCTGTCCCTTTTGGCAGCCAGCGAGGCAAGGGCGATGGGATCTGACCAGCGTTTGTCTCCCTAGATGGGAAGAGGAGTACACGGTGCGTGTCCAGCTTCAGGACAGGGTGACTGAGCTGCAGGAGGTGAGCACTGATCGCTGTTCTCCCCTTCCCCTGCACCCCAGCTGCATGATTTGCTGTGCTGATGGGCACATCTCCCTCTCCCCGGTACAGGAAGCCCAGGAGGCTGAAGCTTGCCAGGAGGAGCTGGCCATGAAGGTGGAGCAGCTCAAGGCAGAGCTTGTYGTCTTCAAGGGACTGATGAGCAATGTGAGTCCCAAATCCCTCCTTTCTGATCCCACAGCCGTATCCTACCCAAGTGGTGTGGCTGTGTGGAGAAGCAGATCCTTGGGGCACACCCAGCACTGTCAGGGTTGGCCCAGGGTGCAGGGGGCAAAGTAGGGATGCAGTCCACCTGAGGGGGAAAGCAGTGTCCCTGGCATTTATCTTGCCTGATGTTCCTCCTTTGTCCCCTTCCTGTGGTGCCGTGGGTTCAGAACATCACAGAGCTGGACACCAAGATCCAGGAGAAGGCCATGAAGGTGGACATGGACATCTGCCGTCGCATCGACATCACTGCCAAGCTGTGTGATGTGGCACAGCAGCGGAACTGCGAGGACATGATCAAGATGTTTCAGGTGAGAGGCGCCCGCTGCTGYTCCAGACTCAGCCACCAGCTCTGGGGAGGAGAGTTCCCAAAGGAGGTAGAAGAGACAGCACCAGCCAGGCCCCACTAGGGGAGACGCTTGGTCACCCTCACCCTTGCTCCTGGCAGTCCCTTGCTTTCTGTCTGTCTCGGGAGGACCAGGTGAAAGGGCACAGAGAGGAGGTGGAAAGCTCCAGATGTTGCTTTGGACATTGAGAGCCCCCTCAGCCTCTTGCTGACCTGTTGTATTGGGCCAGGGGACCCCACAGTGCTAGGGGAACAGCTGCAGGAGGGAGACAAGTTGCTTGAGCGTCTGTCTCTAACTCCATCTCTCTCCTTCCCCTTCCCCTCTCCGTCATCTTCTCTCTGTCTCTCTTCTCTGTCTCTGTCTCTTTTTTCTTTCTGGATGTTGCTGCCTTTCTGTCTCGCTCTTTGTCCCTACAGAAGCAACTGGTTAGTTCCATTCAGTTGAGAAATTTTTTGCAAATTTTAAGCTTTCTATAAAAAAGGTCGGACTACAATATTGACATATTTCACCTTTTTCAGACTGTCTCTTTTTTCCTGTTTCTGTCACTGTGTTTCCCTGTCTCTGGACTGGGGTGGTGGGTGATTTGAGTTTTTCTGCAGTAAAACCACATTGTTTTTTTCTCATCAGATTCATAGATTCCATCTTTAGTTGCTTAGTTTTAATTTTAGAAAATGCTAAAACCATGTTTTATCCATTGCACCCATCTTTAACCTGATCATAATGAGCCCATCTCTCTCTCTTTCTCTCTCTCTCTTTTCTTCCTTCCTTTCTTTCTGTCTTTCTCTCTCTCCCTGCCTTTCTGTCCCTCTGCCATTCCTTCCCCYTCATCTCCTCCCAACTGCCTGCTCCTGACCTCGGACCCGGCCTCGTTTCTGTAGTCTCTGCACTTGTCTCCCGTTAAGGTCCCAGCCTCGGTGGGGCGGAAGCGGGAGCGCAAGCAGGTCAGCGATGAGGACACCTCGCTGTCAGAGAGCGATGCCTCCCGGAAACCTGACGAGGAGGAGGAGGACGAGACCACGGCCATGAGTATCAATGAGGAAATGCAGAGGATGCTGAACCAGCTGTGAGTGCGGCTGCTGTGCACCTCAGCCCACGGTGTGGAGTCAGGCTCCAGCACCGGGCTCCCTGCTGCTCCTGGCATGGGGAGGGCAAGGGTGGTCTGTGGCTTCCCTTCCTGGGTGAGGGCAAGCTGGAAGATGCTGTRTGCTGTGTTCGTCCTGTGCACTATGGGACTGACCCCGTGGGAGATCTGAGCCCACYCATGCCAAGAGTGGGAGCTGTCCAACTCCCCTCCTCTTGCCCCCCATGCCTTTTGTGAAGCCATGCCTGGATTTGCCAGAGCTCCTGACCATAAAACCAGCCCTTCCCCACCAGCTAGCTGATGGGTTTGGGCACAGCTGAGCTCACCCTAGGCTGACCCCCAAGAGCTGCAGYGCTGCCTGTGAGTGGGAGCAGGGCTTTGGCACTGGCACAGCCCCCTGCCTGCCATGGTTTTCCTGCTGGGTGCTGACCCGCTGTTCCCTTGTGCCCAGGAGGGAGTATGACTTTGAGGATGACTGTGACAGCCTCACGTGGGAGGAGACAGAAGAAACGCTGCTCCTCTGGGAGGACTTCTCCGGATACGCCATTGCAGCCGCAGAGGTGCAGGGGGAGGTAACGGTGGTGCCAGGGCCAGGGTGGGTTGGGTTGGGACACTCAGTCCTGCCTGAGCCTGAGTGCTCTCTCCAAAAGATGAAGAGCTCTCAAAAGGGAAGATGCTCTCTCCAAAATCAGATTTCAGCCCCTTTCCCTATGCAGGCCTGTACAGATGCTCTCACACCTTTTTTATGTGAATCCATTTCTGCATCCATGTCAAGGTCTCTTTGTTAGAGGCCAGGGACCTGTAGCCTGAGAAATGTGCTGAGAGCAGAGTGCACACACTGTGGGAGAGCCACAGCCCTCCAGAGGAGAATACCTCTTGTGCCCAGACTGGTGTCTGGTAATCCTTGCTCATGTTCTCCAGCCTGCCTACCCACTGTGCAGCAAAACTGCCCCAACAGAGGTGTCAGTGCCTGGCCAAAGCCCTTGTCATTTGACCCTTGGCAGTCCCTGGGGATGTGTTATGCTTGGGAATGGTCTGTGCTCTCCAAATCTCCTGTGCAATGCTGGGCTTCTTCAGGTTGCTGTGGTCACTGCCCAGTGTGGCAAGTCCCGAGTCTCCCAAGTCCACGTTGGCAGGACTGACTCATGCCTTCTTCGTACCACACTGTACATGCTTCCTCTTATTTTCCCCGTGCTACCAGCTTTTTCTCTGATTTGTCTCTCTTGCCTTTGGTTCCTCACGCTGGACGCTTCCCTGCCCCTAAACCTGCTGTCTGCTCTCCTCAGCAGCAGGACGACAGCCTGGAGAAGGTGATCAAGGACACAGAGTCRCTGTTCAAGAGCCGTGAGAAGGAGTACCAGGAAACCATCGACCAAATAGAGGTGGGAGAAGGAGGAAATGGGRAGGACACGGYASAGAAGGGTGTGAAATGGGGGAGTGGGTCCCTGGGGGAGGGAGAYGCAGTGCTGGAACAGGTCACTGTTGATGTGGGTGACAGCCCTGGGTCTGGCCATGCCACCTGCCCTGTACTACGTGCCCTGGCATCATCTCTGCACCATTTCCCTTGCACAGCTGGAGCTGGCCACAGCCAAGAAYGACATGAACCGGCACCTCCACGAGTACATGGAAATGTGCAGCATGAAGCGAGGCTTGGATGTGCAGATGGAGACTTGCCGGCGGCTCATCACCCAGTCTGGGGACAGGTGAGCCTGCAGCAGGGATATCTGTGCTCTGGRTCTGAGGCCGGGGTGGTGGTGAGAGGGAGCTGAAGGACTGGGCAGCACTCTGGCAGGTGAAGCCAGGCACCCCAGATGGAGAGAGGAGCTGCCATTGTGCAGGGACACCATGCAAGTCCCCAAAGGCCTGGGCAGCCAGGGTGGCTCCAGGCTGGGGACYGCTGTGGTGGGCTCTTCACAGACCCCTAGCCTTACTTGCCTTGTCAGGGTTCTGCTCTGGGCAGGCCCTTCCAGCATCTCCCCYAGCTCTGCTTCGTGCTCTCAGTTGGTGTCCTCTGGAGCACCCTCCCAGCACCCAGGGACTCCCGCAGACCCACAGGAGCGAAAGGGGCCCTTCAGCTTCCCTCCTCTTTGCTCTGGTGACCCCTGCCCACACCAAACTGGGTCCTTTCCCTCCCCCTGKGCAATGCTATGACTGCTGCTCTTTATTCTTGTCTGCAGAAAGTCTCCTGCCTTCACTCCCAGCTCCAACAGCGAGTCCGCCCCAAATGAGGAGAGCGAGGAATCCGATCGTGATCCCCCCAGCGACGCTTCCATCAGATAATGAGGAGAGGCCCTGCTCCCTCAGACCCCCTTCCTGGCATGGGGGTGCCTGAGTCACACCTGGGAGAGACTGTCAGGGATGTGGAACCGCTGGTAAACGCCCGTCACCCAGGCTCACTCCTGTTTTGGGGTGCTTGGCAGATCCCACACCCCCCCTCACCGGATACCTTGCAAACGGGAATAGCTAGATAGACCTGAGGGCCCTTGCCCGGGCTGCTCTGCCTTCAGCCCCTTCTCTATTCCCTTTCCCTGCTTTGGTTAAGCCGTGGTTCGGGCAGGGAGGCTCCAAACCTGCCATGGTGGCGTTCTGCAGGACCTGTTCCCAGGCGCCCCCAGACCCGCCTCCTCTGGCCTCCGTCCTGGTACACCTGACCTGCCCCCRCCCTCCCCGCGCTACACGGAGCCCAATGAGAGCCGTACCTCCCTGCAAACTGGACCTGACACTGGTGCCAACTGGACCGAGCCCGGGGCTCTCCCCGTCCTTGCTGCTGGCCGGGCACCTGGCCGGTCCCCACGCCGCGCCGGGCACCCCGAGCCCTCCCACACCTCGTCCAGGGYGAGGGCTGAGTCCCGCTCACTGTGCACTTTGCTTTGCCGCCCGTCGGCGACGCGCTCACGTCTGTGTTACGGGGGCGAGGTCATTAAATGGGACAATTTCCTTTTCTACAGCGTCGCCGGGTGTGGGCTCTCCCTGTGCTGCTGCGCGCGGCTTGTGGCGGGGCTGTCCTCCGTCAGTCCCCAAGCCCTCATCGGTGGGTGCCCCCCGTGGGACAGTCCCATCCCTTGGATGTGCCAGGTGGGACTGGCAGATGGGACAGTGGTGACATTGCTGTTCTGAGAGCCACTGGCCCTCAGCAGGCTATGTGTACCACTGGTGCTGCATGGGCTGCCTTGGATCTAACCTGGAGCATCACTGATGCAGAGGCTGAGGGATTGGAAATGGATCTGATCCTGGATGGACTTGTGAACCTTCTTCTTCCCATTGCCTGGCATCCTCTGCCTCACCAGGGCATCCCAGAGCACCTTCCTGCCTGCCCTCAGTCCCATGTCCCACCTCTGTGTAACCGCAGTGGGGGATCCCCTGGCCCACCATCTCTTGTAGCATTCTCCTGGCTGGCTGCAGCACGTGCTCCTCCGGTGATGGTGCTGGGACACTGGGGCCTGGCAGGGAGTCAGGAGGGAGAGAGCAGCCTGCTGAGATGATGAGAGATCCAGAATGATCCAGAGAGGCAGTGTGATCCACTGAGCAGTGCACGGCCAAGGCAGGTGAAACTCGGAAGAACAAATGCTTCTCACTAAAGATGCTGAAGRAAAGAGAAAGTACAGGGCAGTAGAGTTTTTGGATCATCTTTAAGATTAGGTATGGAAGATAAAGTAGAGGCTGAGGGATACAAGAGTTTCCCTCTGTAGGTTTGGCCTGGGTGGCTGACACTGCCKGGTGCTTGAGCTGGGAGCAGCGCTGTGGCATCCGTGCACCCAGCACAGTCTCTGTTTGGGCAGGGTGAGGTGCTCTGCCTGTGCCTGTATGATGTGTTAAGGCATGTGCTGGCATTTCAGCAGGGGCTGGGCTGGCTGGTTAGAGCTGGCAGGGAGGTGAGTCCCTGCAAAAGGCAGGAGAATTGAGCGGGAAACAGGAAATCAGGACACAGCTGGAGCACTGCTGGTGCTGGGGAATGGCAGTTCCTCAGCCTGTGGTCTGCTGTGGGCTGGGCTCTGACTCCTGACTGCCATCTTTGCTTCTTTCAGGAGGCTGGGAGAGTGTTCCACGGGAGCAGCAGGGTCCTGGGGAGCAGCAGAAACCCAGGCTGTCGGTGGCTGTGCAGGGGGATGGGGGCYTGTGCCCCAGTGCCTGCCATGGCCCTCATCTCTGTGCCACCTTGCTCAACTGTTTCCATTTCTTTCCCTCTTCGTTTTTATACCTAAAAAAAGCCAAAGCCAGAGGAAATATTTCAATATTTCTACTTTCAAGTGATGATGCCTCACATGCTGTAGATCAGGGATCACTTCCTGTCCTGCTTGGAGGCTCTTCCGTTTCATGCAAATCCCCTTTCCTGTAGATGTCTGCAGCGTTTTATGCTCTATCTCTCCTGTGGAGAGTTCTGTGGGTTCCTGACAACTTCTGGCTTCCCCCATGGATAATCCAGGATGTGCATGCTTTTGCTTTGGTACTGCTTAACATACAGGGGTGCAGAGTACATACCCTGAGAGATCTCAAGCATGAATCACAGGACTGTTATCTCTGCCTCGAGCTGTCATTGCCCAGAGGAGCAGCAGGTGCTGCTAGACACCCATGTGCCAGGAACATGGGGACCCCAGTCCCACGCTGCCAGGACACCATTTGCAGTGAAACCGAAATCTCCACCACCCACATGTGCAAGATGYTGTTCCCTGGTGAATTGTATCAGCAGAGAGAGGCTCGGGTCCCCCACCAGTACAAGAGCTCTCTGTCAGGATACGCAACATGGATGCTTTGCCTCAGCAATTTCTCTGCGTGACAAGTACAGCCCAAGGTCTCTGGTGTTAGCTGGACCACCTACCTGTCCAGCAGTGGTGACCCCACATCTTTGATGCTGGATATGAGGAGATGGGGTCCCTCCAGCTGTTGAACTCTTCTTTGTGAGCTCCTTTTCATTCTTTGGGGAGTATCTAGCCTGCTTTTCTCCACCACAAGCCCTGCTGGGAGTGGTGATGTCTAGGARCTGCTCAGTGCTGTGTTGCTTCTTGAGTCCCTAACGTCACCCCTTTTCCAGGACACGTCTTGGCAGTGCCTTCTCAGGAAGCAATATCAAGTCCTGTCTAGCTCAGTGTCTGTGCATTCATGTGAATGTTTATAGTACAAGGACAGTCCAAGCTCAGGCTAAATGGGGTTCCATGGCAGGATGCCTCTGGGCAGTCCCTCTGTCAGCATTCAGCCCAGGATTGTGGCTGCTGAGTGCTGACCTCTTGAACATTTGTCCAAGACCATCCTTTAAGGATCATATCTCCCCAGTGGCAATGAGATCTTCCCACTGATTATTTAGGCAGACTGGTTCATCAGCTTCTTACCCCTCCGGAGTCCATGTTGGCAAAGACTTACTGGGACAGTCTGGAAGGGTGCTTGTGATTGCTCTGGCTTCTCCCTCCCCAGCATTTAGGCTGTTGTGCCCAGGTGTGGACAGGTGCAACTTTTATTGTCAGCCACGGGAATGGCACAAAACCCCTCCCTTGAGGCAAGAGTTGTCCCTGGGTTGGGGCAGACTCACTTGTGAGCATCCTGTCTCCATGAGGCACTGAGGGACACAAAGGTCAGCCTTTGAGCTGGGGTGACACACGCAGGTCTCTGCTGTGCCTGCTGCACTCCATGCTCCCCATGCTGAGATCAGCCTCTTGGCAAAGGACTTCAGCAGACTCCAGAAGTGAGTCCTGGCTTCCCACTGAATCCATTTCTAATCCCATAGCATGCAGTCACCTCCCCTACCCCTTCCCTGGTGATGTTTCCTGCRACTCATCTGAAAAGTGATCTGTCATCCTTGGAGACCTGTCTTCAAGGTGGCTCTGAGCTGGCTTCAGCCTCTTCAGGGACCTCCTTGGAAGAATCCCATGGGAACAGGCCCAGCAGGGAAGAGGATTTCAAGAGAGCTGGTCAGTATTCARGCACCACTTCCTCCAGGCTCAGGAACAGTGCATCCCTATGAGCAAGAAATCRAGCAAAGGGGGCAAGAGAATTCTGGAACTTTAAAGCAGAAGCAGGAGATACACAGGAGGTGGAATCAGGAACAGACTACTTGGAAAAAAATACAGGGATTTCGTCAGAGTAAGGCCTAGCTGGAATTAAATCTGGCCGAGGAGATGTCAAGGACAGCAAGAAGGGCTTTTCCAAATGTATAAAAACCATAGGAAAACTAAGGAAAATGTTGGCCTGCTACTAAATGGAGTGGGGACCCTGGTGACAGGACACTGAAGAGGCAGATACACTGAATGCCTTCTTTGTATTGGTCTTCACTGACAAGATGAGCCCTCAGGAGTCTCTGACCCAGGAGGCCAGGGAAAAGGAATGTTGGAAGGAAGATTTGCCCTTGGGAAAGAAGGATTGGGTTGGAGATCACCTGGAGAAATGTGATATCCTCAAATCCACGGGCCTTGTCAGGATRTATCCACAAGTGCTGAGGAACTGGTGGACACCATAGCAGTCATCTTTAATAGGTCTGGAGATCAAGAGAGGTGCCTGGGGCCTGGAAGAAAGYAAATGTCACCCCAGTCTTCAAAGAGGGCGAGAAGGAGGACCCAGAAAGCTACCAGCCAGTCAGCCTCACCTTAACCTCTGCAATGAGGTCATCCGTCACCTTGAAGGGATTATCTTTAAGCGTGTGGAATACAAGAAGGTGAGCAGGAGAGCCAGGCTTTCCTCACTAAAGGAAAATTTTGCTTGGCCAACGCGATGGTCTTCTACCASGAGACAACTGCCTGGATGGATGAGGGGAAAGCAGTAGATAGTTTCTATCTCAACTTCAGGAAGGCTTTTGACACTGTCTCTCACAAGATCCTCATAGATAAATTCAGGATGAGTGGACAGTGAGACAGATTGAGAACTGGCTGAATGGYAGATCCCAGAGAATCACAGTACAGGGTAGAGTTGGATGCCTGTCRCTCGTGGTGTCCCCCAAGGTTCACTACTGGGCCCATCTATGTTCAATTTACTCATCAATGACTTGGATGAAGGGGAGATGCCTTCTCAGCATGTTCACTGCTGTCACCAAGCTGGGAGGAGTGGCTGATACCTCAGAGGGGCTGTGCAGCCCTTCAGAGGGACCTCAAAATATTGGAGAGATGTGCAAAGAGGAACTGCCTGAAATTCAGCAAAGGTACATGCAAGGTCCTGCACCTGAGGAGGAATAACCCCATGTACCAGCACAGGTTGGGATCTGCTAGAAAGCAGCTCTGTGGAGAAGGACCTGGGGGTCATGGTGGACAGGAAGCTGTCCATGAGGCAGCAGTGTCTCCTTGTTGCCAAGAAGGCCTGTGGTGTCCTGGGRTGCCTTAGGAAGAACATTGCCAGCAGGTTGAGGGAGGGTTCCTCTCTGCCCCRGTGAGGCACATCTGGAGTGCAGTGTCCAGTTCTGGGCTCCTTGGTACAAAAGAGATGTGCAGGTCCTGGAGCAGGTCCAGCAGAGGGGAATAAAGATGATTTGGTGAGGAAGCACCTCATGAGGAAAGGCTGAGGGAGCTGGGCCTGTTCAGCCTTGAGTAATGATGTCTGAGAGGGCACCTCATCAATGTGTGTAAGTATCTGCAGGATGGGTGTCAGATGATGGAGCCAGGCTCCTCTTTTTAGTGATGCCAAGCACTAGGACACAAGGCCATGGACAGAAACTGGATCACTGGAAGTTCCAGCTGAACCAAGGAAGAACTTTGTTACTTTGCAGGTGATTGAGCCCTGGAGCAGATTGCCCAGGGATGTTGTGGAGTCTCTCTCACGGGACYTATTCCAGAACCATCTGGAGGCAATCCTGCACCATGTGGTCCAGGATGACACTTCTTGAGGAGAGAAGTTGAAACAGATTATTCCACTGGTAGTCCCTTCCAACCTTACCATTACCCATTCTGGGGTTCTGACCAGGCCCRCTGAATTTCTGTGATGAGTACTAGCAGATATTCCCACAGAGAGGGTGGGGAGCATCACTTTCCTTGCACCTGCCCACWTGAGTGTGGGATGATTCTTACTTGCTTTAGAGGATTCAGGAAACCTAACCACTAAGTAGCCCACATCTTCTTCCTTGAGAGCCTGCACCCTTCCCTTCACTCATTCCTGGATCCCATCTCTTTTAGATCATATCACTCAAGGAGTCTGACTTGCCTGTCAAGTCAGTCAAGGTCCTGTATTTTCCACCCAGCACTCTTCTGCTGAAGGTGCTTTGTCACTCATCCCACATGACTTGTGTATGTGTGAGTTAGCTTTTCCCCATATCAGGATTCCATGGATGGACCTAAATGTGATGCTGACAGCCTTCACTGGAACAACTTTGGATTGCCTGCCAACATGTTTTGTTATTTTGTTTATCATGTTTCTTAGACAAGAGTTAGGAGAGGTCAAAGCTGCATAGAAAGTTGATCCTGTTTCTGAGTTTGAGCTGGGAACTTGACTCACCTAAGCCTTACACCTTTGGCCATACTCTTTATTCATTTGTGGTTGTTGTGTCTCAGGTACTTGTGGCACAGGGTGTCACAAAACCTGCATGTGATGGTCATATATATCATACACTCTGGCTACAGGTAAGAAACCTCYCTTCGAGAGGAGAGGTCAGCATTAATGCAGAACACAGTGGAGTGCTGTCTCCCTCGAAATGCACCTGGATGATCCATGGACAAGCTCCTGAAAACATCTGGGAAGCCCCTGCACATGGTGATTATTGCTAGGAGTGATAGTAAGGCGGCATGGAGAGCTGGAAGGGCTGCAGTCAGCTTTAGGGAAGCCCAGTCATCACTTAATATTCCAGTGGATGTATGAGACTGTGAAGGGTGTTTTAGRTGTGAATTTCCTAAATGTTTGGGACACTTTCCCTTGGGACAGAGCAAGGAGATGGTGYTGTAGGTCCGCTGGTGGGGGGAATATAGATGTCATGGCTGGGAGAGCATCTCTAAKAGCTCAGTACTGAGGTAACACTGTGGAAAAGGAGATCAATGGCCACCAAAAGCCATCGTGATCAAGGTGCACCAATGTCACAACAGATGGGAAGAGGCAGCATTTTCTGCATTGAGGGTAGACTGCATCTGGGCAAAGTGCAAGAGGAAACTGAAAATYTCAGTGTAGGAAGAAAAAGTAGTTAATTGATATTTTTATATCTTTTCTTTTTATCTCAGCTACATGGTAGAACTGCTGGATAACCTGTTGGGTAAAGGGGGAATAATAGGCAAGGGCCATTACGAATTGGATTTACAAGCTGTGTTAAAAATCCTATTTGCTCTAGAGCTGATAGCCTAACATGCTCTGACACACAATTTCATCAAAGGCATTGAAGGGTTTTATATATAGTCCTGAATCCTTCCCAAAACTTGTTGATCTATTTTGTAAGTACCTCCCTGTTTTGCATGATGAGGGAAATTGTGTTGTCAATGGGAAGATTTGGCTGGGGATACCAAAGAATATGCTGTGCCAGGGGGAGAATTTCTCATCAATTTATAAATGATGGCATGCCCAAGTAAGGCAATGATTTTAGATGTCCTTGTGACAGATGAAGATTGGGTTAAGACTGATGGTTGCCTAAGGACAAGGGATCAACTGAGAAACAAACTAAGACATCAGCCAGCACAAAATGTCACAGCAGAGAACTGTGTGGTGTTAGGTAGCTTTTTCTTAGAGTGAAATAAGAGGGAAGTCTTAGAAAGAGCTGTGTTTTTCCAGTTCTTCAAAAAGCTCTCAGTGAACTACTTCCTTGAGTAAGTGGCGATGTGACAAAAGTACTTAGAAATAAGAATAACTRATAAAAATAATAATAAAGCTTGACYTACATTAACAAAAATAAACCTTGTAACAACTCCAGCAACTGTGGGTAGRAGAAAAGGAATAGAAAGACAACAAAATAATTTAGCTGTATGAAAAAAAGTCTTCAGCTGCTCATGTCACTTCAGAAAAAAAGAAAATACCTAACTGTCTAAGGAACTAACATGCTGTTGTAGCTATATTTAAAGAAAAATCAATCCTAACAGTAATATTTTTTCTTGGCTGAAACTGGGGGAAAAAAAAACAAAAAAAAAAAAGAGAAGTACTCACCACACAAGTCTGTTCTGTATATGGAAAATGCAAAATGTGGTCAGAAGGGAATGATGAAGCACTTTCCAGGCAGTTAGCAATAAGGAAGGTCCCTGACAGGATTTCCAGATGAGCACTGTTACAGTACCAGGCACAGATGACCTGGAGCACACTAAGTGTGGGGTGCACGGGGTGCTGTAGGATGAACAAGCCCCCACACAAAGCCTGAGGCTGCCAGGGGAATTGGAGTGAGCAATGCTGAAAATGAAGTGCAGCACTGTCGCTGCATTTCTGCAAATGGTGTTTTGCAAAAAACAGTAACCTCCACACTAAGAAATGCACTGGMTGCTGAAATCCATGATTTGCAGAGGTCAGTTTTTAAAAGCATCAGGGAAGACATTTAAAGGAAAGCCTGGGTGGATGGGCAAGCAAATGACGTCAGTGCTTAGTCTGACAGGGCATGGACGAAAGCCAATGAGAAACCAGTGGAGGGGGGAGGAGGGGAGAAATCATGTAGGAACGGAAAAAATCTGCAATTTAAGTAACATTTATAGAAGGACAAGGAACTGACAGACAAAACTGGTACCATTTTTAAAATGAAGAAATGATACAGACTCTCAGGAGGAGTAAATATCTCAAGTAAAAAGTGCCAAGAGGTATTACAAAATATTTCTGAATAAGGTCAAAACAGAGATTCTGTTGCCATGCATATGTAGCCATGCTTAGTTACATACAAGAGCAAGAAATAGTAGTGACTAACCTTCCCTGGAACAACAGGAGGGTTGGAAAAGGAGCAGGGCTCACAAGCAACCTTGTGCAAGTTCTCAGCCAGACACTGAAGATGTCTTCTTTAAACATATCCACATGTGACATTGGTGTCCTTTGTCCTGCTTTGCATCAGAAACGAATAGATGGACTGAAGACTTATAACTATGATTCCAGGCTGTAAAAAAAAAAATGTTTTGAGAGTGAAAAGTTTAGTTATTTTGCTCCTCGAAAGAAAGACAAGTGTCTTTGCGCAGTGCCTAAAATCACTTCATGATGTTGGTCAAGATGGCAGTTTAGTCAGGGTGATAAAGGCATATGAGGAGGCTGAGGGGATGGGGAAGCTGGAGGCCATGTGAGATTTGGCACCTGGTGTCCAGCACCTAAACCAGTATCCAACTTGGCAACTAAAAACCTGGAAATTACACAAATTACAAACCACCTTCTTTTTTTTTCTTTTTTTTTTTTCCCCTTTCCCTGCTGTCCCAGGACTCAGAGCAAGGTCAATAAAAGTTGCTCACTTGTTTGTTGGAAGTCTGGACAATGTCAGAGGAGGGCTTTGAGACCTGCAATGTCAGAGCTGTGTCCTCCACTGCATGTAGTATTTCTCATTTAGCAACCTTGAATTTCACCCAGCATTTTAATAACCCAGTCAYTTGGTCACAAGATCCTTCTGCACCTTTCCACAGGCTGAGATTCAGGGCTGAGTTGGGTCATTTTGCATAATCAACACACCTTGGCACCCCATGTTCCAAATTGTTCTGAAGGTGGCCTCAGGTGCTGGCTACTTATATCTTCTCTCTCAGTTGCCACCAGCCTTGCCACAAGTTTTCAGCCTGGAGAGGATGGTCTTCTCTGTCCTAAGGCAGTTCT